ACACACACACACACACACACACACACACACACACACACACACACACACACACACACACACACACACACACACACACACACAAACATACCAACCTCTGGGAGCTCGTCAAAGGTGAGCTCAATCTCGGCCTCCTTGGCGTAGAGGCGCTGGGCGACGTCTGTGTTGATGGAGTTGCCCTCGATGGAGGTGTAGGAGGTGGACATGCTCACGTCTGTGCTGATGGCTGGCACTTCTTCCTCGTCCTGCACCTGCTTGAACCCGCCGCTCGCAAAGGGCAGTGGAATCCCATTCACCTGTTGTGGCAGGGAGGGGGGGGGGGGTTCGCGGGTCGTGAAGGAGTGGATAGAAAGTGGGTTTACAGGTGTATTCATTGTGGTGTTGGGTGGCGGACAAATGCCATGCATACGGCTGCAATCTGTGGTGATTGGGCGAGCAAAACACACACACACACATATCACACAGACACACACACAGACACACACACACACGCACCTTGCAGTATTTGTAGTGTTGGTGTCTGCGTGCACACAGTTTGTCGAGGCGCGTCCTGCTGTTCGTGAGGTCCTGACGAGAGCAAGAAGGGAGTAGTATGGAACAAGATGAACAAACCAAACCGCGACGAAAGAAAGCGGATGCAAAGGAGGCAACAGCGAGCAACACAACACAAGAACAGCAACACAACACAGACACAAGCGAGCAATACAACACAAGAACAGCAATTCAAGGGCAAGAGAGCGTTTGCCCAACCTTCTGTGCCTCTGCGCGGTGCTGTGCATTCTCGCGGATCTTGGACTGCAGTTCCTTCATCTCCGCCGCGAGCTCGGCCTCCGCCTCCTGCTTCTCCTTCACAATCGCCAGCAGTTCGTCGCGCCGCTTCGTCTCCCGGTCCAGGTCCTGGTTGGGGGTGGGGGGGGGGACAACCATCGTAGCAGTGGTGAGCAGTGGGTGTCGGTTGTCTGGAGGGTCATGTGGTGCGCAACATGTCGTGGTTTGCGCGGCAATATCAACATCAACGTCAACGTCAACGTCAACGTCAACACACACGCACACGCACACAACACACCTTGCCCAGCTTTTCCAAGGCCTTTTCTTGCTTCTCCTTCTCATTTTCCAGCTCTTCGTGCTTCTGCTCCAGCGAGGCGACACGGTCTGCAAGACAAAGACACACACAAGACCGCGCACACACATGCACACAGTATCAGAGACAGAAATGAGCAAACAAGACAGTAGCAGTGGGAACAGCACATCAGAGCAACAGCAAAGACAACAGGAGAATCACATGAGCACCTGCGAATCCGCTGGCGGTTTTCTTCTCAAAGTCAAGCGTGGCCTTGAGGGCGGTAATCTGCTTTGCAAACTCCTTCTTCCTGTTGGCCATCTGCTCAGCGCGCGCCAGACGCGTGTCCTCGTACTCGCGGATGTTCTGCAGTTTCACCCGCCGGCAGAACGACGCAAAGATCGCATCCGTCGCCCTGCAATGAAAAGGGGCACACACGCAAACGCAGCAAACAACAACAATCAGCCAGCAAACGGCTAAGACTGAGGGAGGGGTCAGATCACACACAAACGCACATCGTATATTCGAATTCGCACACACACACACACACACACACACACACACACACACACGTTCAAGCCGTCTTACTCGTTGAATTTCTGTTGTGCGGCTTCGTGCTGGGCCCTGAGCTGCTCCAGCTCCTGCTCGGCCGCCGCCAATTTGTCCTCGGTTGTCTTCAGCGCAGAGCGCAGCGCCTTGAGGTCCTTTTCCCGCGAGGCAAGCGTCGACTGCATTTGCACCGAAGACGCGTCGTCGTTGTGTTTGGAGATAGGGCCGCAGCGTGGCGTTAGGGGGAAATGAAGGCAACGTGCGTGTTGTCGTTGTACAATGTCAAGTACCACACAACACACACACACACATGCAACACATGCACACATGCAACACACACACACACAACACCTGTGTGAGGTCGATGTGATGGGAGACGGTCTTGCAGAGCGACTTGAGGCCTTCAATCTGCGCCTCGTCCTCGCCCGTATCCGGCACGCGTTTCCGCGCCACCGCCTTGTACTGCACACGCGCACACGCACGACAAGGCGTGTGGATGGGGTGAGAAACGAACGATGCACAGTCACACAGCTGCAGAAACAAAACCAAGCAGACACATCGATGATGCACATGAAAAGCAAAACAGACTTTTGTTTCGAGCTGGGAGAGCTGGACCCGGAGCTCGTCCACGTTCTTCTCGTCCCAGCGCTTGGCCTTCATCTCCACGCCAGCAAGACCGCCCTGCATCTCGCCAGAGGCCTTGATCACCGTCCCCTTCAGCGACACAGTCTAAAGCACACGTGGCACACGACGGGCGTGTATGTGAGCACCACACATCGTCGTGTGTGAGTACAAATCAGTTCATCTCTACTCGCGACACAGATAGACAGACAGACAGACAGACAGACAGACAGACAGACACACAAACAGAAGACATATACGCTCACACGCACACAGACATACACAGGCACACACACACACACACGTAAACAGACAGACACACAGACAGACACATACCCTCACACGCACACAACAGCCACCTGTAATCCCTGACCTTTGATGCTGCGCCCTCGGAGAAGACGAGGCGCTTTGCTTCCTTCTCCGTCTCGCACACGACCGCATTCCCACACGCGTATTGCACGGCACGCTGGCAGACGAGCAGTCGAGCCAGGGGTAATGAGTAACACAGAAGCAATGATGAGAGCAGCAGCAGACAAGCAACCGTGAACAGCCTCTGCACACATGGCATCACAGCACGACATGCAGTCACCTCGATGCGCGGCGGAAAATCAATGACGTCACGCACGAGCTTGCTGCCGTTGGGGAGTTGTCTGCACACGCCATACAGTGGAGGTGGTTTGTTTTGAAAGAGTTGAAGGGGTGTTGGATCCGAGAGCTGTACTGCCACATGCAAAGCACACACACACACACACACACACACACACACACACACACACATCGCGCGCGCGCACACACACACACACACACACAACACAAACACGCGCAACACACACACACACACCTGAGGTGTTCCTTGACGTCCTTGACTTTGACCGACTCGAGCGGGATAAACGTTGCCGTGCCAATCTGGTTCTCGCGAAGGTACTTGAGGCACTCCATCGCCACGTCCGACGAATCAACCACAACCGCATCCATGTTCGACCCCATGATCACCGTCACCGCCACCTTGTATCGGCTGTGGCGCGGCTCGCACAGATCAATCATCTTGCCGTGTACCCCCTGGCAAGCAGCAGCAGCAGCAGCGGAGGTGGAGGTAGTGGTGGTGGAATGAACATGAGCACATTCATGCATGCGTGTGTGTGTGTGTGTGCGTGCATGTGTGTGTGTGTGCGTGTGAAAATGTGTAGTGGCAGAACCACCTTTCAACCCCTATCATCGCTGCCACCGCGCCTCCAGCCAAGCACACGACACCAACCGACCGGGAAGAGCTGCTTCATGGTTGCGATGGCGTCGTTGAGGCGGCGGTTGCGTGCGCTCTCCTTGCGATACGCGTTTGCCTCTCGCAGCGAGGCCTTGACCGTCTCAATCTTGGACGAGAGCTCGCCCTTCTGCTGCGTCATCTCCTGCCGCTCCTGCTTCGCCCGCTGCACATCCCGCTCTTTCTGCAGACACAAAGACGCGCATACACGTGCAAGCATAGTCGTGTGAGTGTGTGAGTGTGCGTGTGAGTGTGCATGTGAGTGTGTGTGTGCGTGTGTGTAGTTCTTTCAGGTGGGTGTCCTCACAATCAATCAAGCGATCGATCACCCATCAATCAATCAATCAGTCAGTCAGTCAGCCCTAAAAGACACGTCACAGCACCTGCTGCATGTCCTTCTGCTGGCGGTTCAGGTTCTCCTGCAGCCGCTTCAGGCGCTCAGACTGCGTTGCGCTGTACATTTGAGGAGGAGGGGAGGGAGGAAGGAAGCACGCATGCTCATTAGTGAACCAGTAGAGGCCAAACAACGTCAAGCACACGCAAACAAACAAACAAACAAACAAACAACACACAAACACACAAACAAACAAACAAACAAACAAACAACAAACAAACAAACAAACAAACAAATAAACAAACAAACAAACAAACAAACAAACAAACAAACAAGCACACAGGACTGTCTGCGTACATTTCCTTTTCGAGGGCGGCCATCTTTGTTTTGATTTCCTCCTTCTGTTTCTGCTCGCGCTGCACTTCGCGCTGCTTCGCCTCATACAGCCGCGTCGCCTGGCAGTGGCAGTGGTTTTGATTGTGGTCGAGGGAATCAGTGTTGACGAGGGGCGTGCGCGCGTGTGGCCCGTGCATGTGCGTGTGTGTGTGTGTGTTCGTGCGTATGTGTGTATGTTCAGCACGCTCTTGTTCACCTTGTCGCAGGTGGTCTTGAGGTCGTGTGTCTCGGACGCGGCCTTGGCCTTGAGCTGGTTGTACATTTCCATCTGTCACACGTCGTCGAGGTTGTGAGGCAAAGAGCGAGAACAACAACGCGCGCACAGCACAAGAAATGAGGAGAGCAACACAACACAACACAACACAACACAACACAACACAACACAACACAGCACAGCACAGCACAACACAACACAACACAGCACAGCACAGCACAACACAACACAACACAACACGAACAAATACAAGAACAAACACCAACTCAGAACAAATACAAGAACAAATACCAACTCAGAACACGCACACGCACACACACCTCTTCCTGGCCGAGTTGGATTTCGTCGTGCTGGCTCTCCTCTGCGAGTGTGTTGTCGTATCGCTCCTGTGCGGCCTCCACCTTCTCCAGCTCATCCTGCAGCTCGTGCACTTCCTCATCCGCCCGCTGCTGGTCTGCGCGCGCCGACTGCAGCAGCTTGGCGTTGGCTGCGAGCCGGCCCTTGGCGTGCTTCAGCTTCGTCTGGATGGCCACGTGCTGCGGCGTCAGCTTGTGCACCTTCTTCTCCTGGTTCTTCAGATCCTTCTTTGCATTCATGCGCGCCTTTGCCGCAGCGGCAACCTGGGCGGCAAGAGGATACAGCGGGGGTGGGGTGTGTGGATGTGAGAAATTGTGTGCGTTGAGCACTGTGTAGATGAATTGTGTTGTCTGGGCACAGTACAACCCACGAACGACAGCAACAGCAGCAATCACCACAGTGACAGCATGCACAGTGTCCGCGGCACCTTCTTGTTGTGGTCCTTGAGCGTGGCCTTTGCTGCCTCCCCCTTGCGGGTCAACTTGTTGAACGTCTTCAGCTTGGTCTGCAGCGCATCGCTCTCCTCCGTCATATCTGGTGGCGGTGACGATGAAGACGATGGTGACGACGAAGATGAAAGGCAGCAAGCACAGTTCGTGTGGGTGGCTGAGTGAGTGGGAGCAGGGGCCAAACTGAGCTCATACACGCTGCCAATCAAACAGAAGCCAAAGTGCACACGGACACATGCATGCACCTTGCTCAATGTTGTAGAGCTGCCAGAGAATGTGTTCGCGGCGGGTGGCAGCGAGCTCGTCCTGCAGCTGCTGGAAGCGGTCCGCCTCCTCCTTCTGCTGCTGGTACTGCTTCCGCTCCGTGTACAGCCCCTGCAGCCGTGCAGTGGTGGTGATGGTGGTGGTGGTAGCACGCAGCAGGCACATCACTGAGCAGCAATCGTGCGTGTGTCCGTGTGTGTGTGTGTGTGTGTGTGTGTGTGTGTGTGTGTGTGTGTGTGTGTGTGTGCATATTTGTACGACCACGGCGCGTGCGCACCTTCTTCTGCTGTTGGAAGAAGAGGTGGTCGGCCTCTGCCTCGTCTCGCGCCTTCTTCGCCGCCTCATACTCATCGCGAAGCGCAGCAGACCTGGCCAACAACAGCACATGGCGGGAGGTTGCGGGTTGGAAACGAGCAAGCGCAACACAACCACCAGAAAGGGCAGAGTTCATGGAAGGACGTGAACGTGCGCTCAACTGTTCAACACAGCAACATGAACACAAACACACATACACACACACACACACGCACACACACACACACACACACACACACACGCACGCACATACACACACACGCACACACACACACACACACACGCACGCACACACACACACACGCACCCGCTGATCTGCTCAAAGAGCTGTGTGAGCTGTTTGGGGCTCTTCGCAGCAATGTTCTCCACATCGCCCTGAAACACGAGGAAGTTCTTCGCCTTGACCAGTAGCCCGAGGGACTGCAGGCGCTCATCATACTGCTCCCACGTCACAGCCTTGCCATTGATCTTGTAGTCTGACGACCCTTTGGCCGAGATGCTATCACGTGTGTGCGCGCCAGATGGAACAACAAGAAAAAAAAGTAACCATGAGCCCTGCCAACCACACACACACACACACACACACACACACACACACACACACACACACACACACACACACACACACACACACACACACACACACACACACACACACACAGACAGACACCTGCGGGAGAGGATGAGCTCGTCCGCGTCCTCGTCATTGGCGTCAACAAAGACAGCGGAGACTTTGGCGCGCAGCTTTCCCTTGGTCGCAGAGTCGCTACTGTAGATGAGGTCCTGTATGGCGAAGGTGTGTGTGTGTGTGAATACATGTGTGTGTGTGAATACATGTGTGTGTGTGTGAAAACGCGCGCGCGTGTGTGTGCGTTCGTAGTTGACGAGCACGGCAGGCAGAAAGCACGTTGCAAAGCGAGCAAAATTTCCGCCCAAACACACACACACACACACCTTGAGCTGGGCGCCGCGAAGCTCTCTGGCGCGCACGCCGAGAACAAAGGAGATGGCGTCCATAAGGTTGGACTTGCCAGACCCGTTGGGCCCGATGACGGCGCTGAAGGCCGTGAACGGCCCGATCACGCAGTGCCCGCCATAGGACTTGAAGTTCTCCAGCTCCAGTCGATCCAAACGCATGGCTGGCTGAGTTTCGCGCTGGCGTGTGCGTGTGTGTGTGTGCGTGTGAATGAACGTATGCTTGCGCGTGTTTGCTTGCGCGGGTTTGCTTGTGTGTGTGTGAACGTATGTTTGCATGTGTTTGCTTGTGTTTGCGTGTGGCTGGGCACACCACCGAGAGCAATGCCATCCCACCCCATCCCATCCCATCCCCACCAATATCCTTCGCGCCACGACCACCATCTCCGCCAGTGTCTCACCTTCCTTCCACAGCACAAGACACAAAAAAACGGCGCGTCTTCTCTTGTCCTGCTTCGGCTTGTTCAATTTCCCGCCAAAACCGCCCGCTATCCACCGCCGCAGCACTGCCTGTGCGAAACATACCCAAAGGCAAATTTGCCTTTTCCCAAAGGCAAATTTGCCATTCCCTGCTCAGCATTTGGAAGGACAACAAAAAGATGGGTGGCAGTGGCAGTGGTGCTGGTGCTGGTGCTAAGCATGCTGGCGGCAGCACTGCGAAGAAGCATGCGCGTGGTAAGGCGCACGATGGGAAGCACCACCAGCAAACGC